GGTCCGTTTTCATGAAAAGATATTTTGTGAAGGGTCCATCATCGGACCCAAATTACAAATACGACATTCAGGGTGAGGTTCTCCGAACAGTAAATGAAGATGTGCTGACCGGGTGCGACAGATTCGCAGATCAGTAAGTTTAACGTCTGCACTACGCAGGTGCAGCACAGGCAAATGGTCCAAATTGGTTTTAACATAATGTAGCTTATTGAGAGTTTGGAGATCCCACCTTTGCTGCCATAAAGATGTTATAAATTTCTGAACATGCAGCTTAACATCCGTGAAAGGCACGGATAATGACAAGAGATCCTTAATCTTAAGAAAGTAACACAATATAATTAAAAGAAAACATTAATTTTAACTTATATAAATTTGTTTTTCATATTGTATGCTGTATCATAAGAATAGAATGTTACATCACTAAAAAAAATCATTTCAGCAAAAGAGACTTAGACCACACACTTAGACCATGCAATGGATTTAAAAATTTTAACACTCAATAAATTAATTATTAGCAATTAAAGAGAAATCAATGTTGACTGTTTACGTGGAAAATTCTGCAGCCCATTAAAACATGTCTATGAAAATCAAATTTGATAGATTAAAAGTTCTGTCTTTAACAAGTCAATCGGGATAACTGACACTTGTTTACACCAACAGACTCTATAGGTTCTATTAATTTGCAAATTTTTTAATAAAAAAATAATTACCATAGAATGCATACAAGCTATACCTTTCCAGTTGATTCACCTTGTTATTTTACAGTAAGAGCCACTGCCAGATCTGGCGAATTTTTTAGTATGGGTACCTACCCCAAATTATCCCTTGCATTCTAAATTAGATATTTACGTTTTAAATAGAAGAATTTTTGTTATATTAGAGTAAACAAATAAAATTGTTGGGGGGATTTGTCACGTAATTACCACTATAAATATTAAATACCAATTCACTAGTATATAAGACATGTTAACTTGATTCAATCAGAGGTACTTTTTGATAGAGGTTGTCATGGTCGATTTATAAATCCCCACAATGGTGATCTGAGGACGTGATATGAACTTGCCAATATCGATGTATGGTCCACATTAAACAGTTGATTTGCTTTAAAATATACTGCGCAAAGATTTTTTAAAAAAAACGGTGAAGTAAATGAAGGTTAATGAGCGAAATGCTATAAAGAAGAAAAAAAATGAGCGAAATGCTATAAACAAAAAAATGAAGAAAAAAATATAATGAGCAAAAATTGATATAAATAAATAAACATCATGAATCAACACTCATCGAATTCTATCACAGATAAAATTCTGGAAGAGGAGTAATGTGACATAACTACCACTATAAATATTAAATACCAATTCACTAGTATATAAGACACGTTAACTTGATTCGATCAGAGGTACCTTTTGATGGATGAAGGTTGGCATGGTCGATTAAAACATACCCCTCAACTTACCATATCGACATTGCTGATTAATAAAAATTGTTTGTCAGGAAACTTCTAAGCTTACACTACTGAAATGATACAACCATTACCTGATAAGAGCTACGACTTTCATGTCTATATTCTGAAAATATTCTTTAAAAACAGGAGCTAGCAATATTGGCAGAAGGTCTTATTTACATTGGTTAATGCTTTAAATGTTTACTAACTTGTAGCTTACATTTTAACTTTTGTCTTCACAAACACCGGTTGCGTTAATTGCGCATGCGCTCCAATACGCCATTTGAGTTGATTCTTCTACCTTCTCTCTCCTCCTCTTCTCAGTTGTATAGGAATGTACTACGATATTTCCCCCTTCTTAATATTTTTCTTATTCAATTGTCCCAAATATTTTTTTAAAATTTCCATGCCGCTTTCTTTCCAAGACCGGTTCCATGCTTTTGGCCCCAGCCCTTTCCCTCTCCTCCTGTTTTTAGTTGTGTAGGAATGTTCTATGTTGTTGTTAATTTACGTCGCACTAGAGCTGCACAATGGGCTATTAGCGACGGTCTGGGAAACATCCCGGAGGATGATCCGAAGACATGCCATCACAATTTTCATCCTCTGCGAAGGGGATGGCACCCCCGCTTCGGTAGCCCGACGATCGGCACGCGAAGTCGAGCACTTTACGGTAGCACAGTTTAACGAGGACCAATACCGCACACTCTCAGTCCCTACGCAGACTGATCCAAGTGGTCACCCACCCGCACACTGACCGTAGCCAGTGATGCTTGACTTCGGTGATCTGCTGGGAACCGTGTCTCAACGATCAGTCCACTGCGGGACAGGATATTTTCCCCTTTCTTAATATTTTTCATACTTAATTGTCCCAAATATTTTTTAAAATTTTCAAAATGCTTTCTTTTAGAGTTATGTTCTATGTAGTTTTCAGTTCTGAATTTTTTTCTAACTTAATTGCTCTCTAGATGAATCGATCAGTGGAGCGAAATCAACAATTCCCACCACCAGCTTAACTAAATTCTATTCAACATAACTTAAGTTACTTTATTGACGTCACACTAGAGCTACACAATAGGCCCGGCAGTCTGGGAAACATCCCCTGAGGATGATCCGAAGTTTTGATCCTCTGCAGAGGAGATGGCTCCCTTGCTTTGGTAGCCAGATGATCTGCGCACAAAGTCGAGCACTTTAATGAATAATTTATAAAATAAGTAGACAATAAATAATAAGTGAAATAAGTAGAACAGCCTAACGAGGCCAACCGCGCACCTTCGATCCCTACACAGGCTGATCAAAGTGATTGCCCACCCGCTTACTGACCGCAGCGAGTGATGCTTGGCTTCGGTGCTCTTTTGCGAAACGTGTCGTTACGATCAATCCACGGCGGGACAAGACAAAATTTGAAATCTCAATTTAAAGTGAAGTATAATGGAAATTGCTTTCACACTAGGACAGTGTTTCCCAAAGTATGATACGCGCACCTCCAGGGTTACGGGAGCACTTTAGTGGGGGTACGCGTTCGTATGCAAAATATCCTACAGCAAACGATAATTTCACTTTTTTTTTATTTAAAAACAAAGCTAGCCATGAAAATTTACGATTACATATTTTTCAATTGGTTATTTTTTCCAGAGTTAACAGTTAATAATTAGTGGCGTCAACAGCCAGTTATGATTTTTAACTTTTGTAAAATTTTTTACAGTAAAAAATACATTCATTTTTTAATTAGTGGTACACAGCGTTACGAAAAATTTAGAAAGGGTACACAAAAGTCATAAGTTTGGAAAGCACTGCACTAGGACATCTTGGCGAATGACCAAAAATGGTATTCGAAGAAAATCACAACATTCTCTGAAACTGACCTAAAAATCCTTAATATAATGAGTTTAGAACTATAAATGTTTTAAAAAATTTTCAAAAATTCTTTTTAAGCATTTACATGTAAATTTGAAGAAAAAAATCCAGCTGAGCATAAAATTGTGATATTCTTCACTGAAAGTTAATATAGGGTGCTTTGAAAAATAAGAAATATCTTTAAAAATGTTTTATAAATATATTTATAGATTCTGATTATTTTTGGAAAATATCATTGCTTATTGTTTCATATATAGCCAGTTTCAAAAAAAATTTTCAGTGCAAAAAATATACTAATTTCAAAATATGTTCACCATATGACATGTTCATTTCAGACTTAATTTATCAGAATAGTTTTGGACAGAATAATTTTTTTAATGCCATTTTTGGACACATTGAATGATGAAACCTAGATAAACCTGGCAATGTTATTTATAAAGACATGTTCTCCAGTTCTGTCATTAACACTCAAATGACCGTTTAAGAACTTTTGCATCGAAAATGCGTTTATCATTTTTGCACCTTTGACTTTTCCTAACAATTACATACAGTTTATATTCTATTTTTTTTGTATTTTGTTTCAAATAATACTTGTCATATACCTATTTCTACCATAACTGGTCATTTGAACGGGAGAACAATTTATTACTTTATAAGGTTATCGGATCAGAAATTAGGATGTTCAACGTATTGCATTCGATGAGTTGCACATTCCTGCAAATACTGTTGTGTAGTTAATTCAATTAGAATAACTTTGAATTCAAATTTCAAGAAAGTACCTAAAATTTTAGATTGACATTTTTGTGTGAGAAAAAGTGACAGTTATAACTCTTATAATTATAAGAATTATAGAAATAATAAGTAATTTGAAGAAATATGTTTGCGGAAAATGTAGAATGGAAACACCCTGTATATGTACAAAATGCTTTGATCAATGAATTAAAAATTGTAATTTTTTGTGTTTGTAATAAATAAAAATTGGCAGTACCTATACAGTTCTGTTTAATTATAATAAAGTTTTTTTTCTCCATTTATTTCCTTCCAAACATCCATATCTCATACATTCAATCAAGAAACATACCCAGAAAGCATGTAATCTTGCAGCAACCTTTTTTTATTGTCACGAAAATGTTTGTACTAAAAACCTTTTTTCAGTGAAGCAAAAATATTGCAGCTTAAAACCTTTCATCCTAAAAGGATTAAAAATTATTGTCACTTTGGTCCATTATGACGTTTTAGCTGACGTCACGCTAGCGATAGGATCAAATTGCATTGTCCATTTTAAAATTTCGTGACAAGGTGGATTTTAGCGGAGCATAAAAGACTTTTACGAAAATTTTCATCTTGAGACTAGCGGATTTTTCACGCTTGAAAACCATAAGTCAACCTCGAATTAAGGTTTTTATATAGAGGGTTATTTTCCAAGGTTTTGGATAAGGGTAATGTGCGTAGAATAGGGCAGATTGTCACAGATCTCGTTTCAAGGTTTACACGTAAACTGTGTCACAACCCTTTTTAGGTTTACATTAAAAGGTTTTTGTTGAGTGAAAATAAACCTTATTTTGCTCTCTGGGATAAAGTCCGGTCATTTGACCAGTTATGGTAGAAATAGGTATATAGTATTAAGCTTTGGTATGTTTAGTGTTAAAAACTGCGGCTGTGTGTTGTAAAATGTGGTTTCCTTTTTGAAATATTTACAGAAAAATTAGAAACAAATGCTTTATTAACAAAACATTATTCTATATATGAATATGATTTATACAACAAGTGATATTTACAATGAAAAATTAGGCACAATCATTCATCTGTCTCTTTAGATCATAGAATCATCTCTTCTGATGTGTCTTCAGCTGCTTGAGTTTTTTTCCATTTTTTGGCTATTTCAAGAAGTTTAAGATGAGGCTGAGCAACTTCATCAGATGGAAATATATAGTCGTAATATTCTTCATAACTTTCAGACTATAAATAAATAAATAAAATGAAATCAATTATTGCATAATTTATAAAACAAACAAACCTTCTTCATAATTTGTAAATGAATGAATTTTATAAAGTCCACAGCATGTCTCAACATGTAACAAATAAATGCCAAAAGTATCAGAGTATTTAAACTAGAGTTGGCATGATTAAATTTATTGATTTAAATCAACTGCAATTTTTTTTCAACAAAAATTGTTAATTAAAACTGCCAGGTAACTATAGCAACCCCCCTCCTCCCCGTGCCTGTGCATTGCCCCATCCTCAGTTAGTTGAACGTTAGATACGGATGAGAGCGGACGAAAATAAATGCTTTAGTTTTTAGTGTATGTGCTTTATGTTGTTTCATTCTTAATAAAATTCATTTTGTTTTATATTCGCCATCATTTCTTCAGATTAAATTAAAAAGAACCCTACAAAAACCAACTAAATTTTCTTGATAAACACACATTTATAAAACAAACTAATATTCCTCATAATTTTTTTTTTTTGTGTAAATGAATGAAACTTGAATTTTATAAAGTCAACTAGCATGTCTCAACATATAACAAATAAATGCCAAAAGTTTCGAAATATTTAAACTAGAATTGGCATGATTAAATTTATTGATTTAAATCAACTGCATTTTTTTTTAATAAAAATTTTTAATTAAAACCAACAAAATTTTCCTGATAAACAAATATTTATAAAACAAACTAATTTTCATCACAGTTTTTTATTTGTAAATGAATGAAACTTGAATTTTATAAAGTCAACTAGCATGTCTCAACATATAACAAATAAATACCAAAAGTTTCAAAGTATTTAAACTAGAGTTGGCATGATTACATTTATTGATTTATATCAACTGCAATTTTTTTTTCTTCACAAATTGTTAATTAAAACCAACTAAATTTTCTTTAAATAATTATTAATTTAAGTCTCAAATACTTTTTATAAAAGATAATAAATATATTTTTAGATTTTTCTTTAAGTCTTGATTTTATCAATAATGAAGGTTTTATAAGAAGAAATAATTAAAGAGGAATGTATGTAAATTATTATATTTCAACAAAAGACTAAAAAAAAGAGGAGAAAAACGGTGGGGAGAGTAGATATTGACAATGTCAACATTCATCTATGAAAAGGTACCCCCGACATAGAATCGAGATAACATGTTTTATATACGCTGTGTGTGATCATCAAATTCTTGGCCATAGATGGCGTCACTGAAAAACAAGAAACGCACACTTTGCATTAAATTTGCTCAGTTTCACGAAGCAGGCTTGCACGTGTGGCAAGTAGCATTAGAAACAACAACAATATACTAGTGAATTGGAATTGTATTTTTGTAGTGGTAGATACACTACAGTACCCCCCACCTGAATTTTATCTGTGATAGAATTCGATGAATGGGAGACCACTAGTTGATTCATTGCTGTTTTGTGAGAAACCAGGAGAGCTGTATTAAATTCACGGTCATGGTCGCTCCCGTGTTGCCTTTAGTAGTCGAGTGTATACGTTGTGTGTGATAGAGGTTGAGAAGCAACAGCGTGAGGAGGATAATGTTGCAGTCACGAGTCAATTGCTCATTGTAGAATTGAAGTAAGCCTGTTCAGATTGAAGTGGACGCTAATGTTAAGATAGGCGTGTTGATTTTGTAGTGGAAGTTTCTGTCAAACTAGGCGTGTTCACATCACGACCGAAGGTCACTAGTGTGGGGAGAGTAGATATCGACAATGTCAAACTTCATTCGTGTTATGAAACCCCAACATAGAATCAAATTAATACTTCTTATATACTAGAAAATTGGAATTGTATTTTTGTAGTGGTAGATACACTACAGAAACTAAGAGAGGCAACTTTCAACTGTCATGTCCGAAATAATTTCGGGCGCAGCACTGGTGATCCAAAATGTCACGCTCTGTATTACTCTGGGAATTATTTTTATTTTAGTGCATTGTATATATTATTATAGCAGAATATATATCAGGAGAAACTTATTGCAGCTTCATCTCTATGTCAGACCCAAATCTATCTCGGAATAAGTTAATTTAAATGCAATTTAGAACAATATGCAAAATGGCATCCAGTTCTTTGAAACGTTACATAGACGATTTAGTTTTTTAGAAGATAACTAAATAATTTTTTTTTTAATTTTTAGAAAATAATGCTCCACTAGAAACGAAATTTACTACTGCCATGCTGAGTGGCAACTGCCTTTAGCGAATATGCAGCAGCTACAAAACCTTAAAATTTTTACGCACGTAATTCAAAATATCAATTTTAACTAACAACTATACTTTATTTTGTACTTAATATTTGATTTTTGCAATAAAAAAACTGACAATTTATGTACACAAATCATTAAAGTAACTTTACAGTTAAAAGGTTTTAAATAATAATTGTTCACTATAATTTGAAAGTTGCATTTGTGGTAGTATCTTTGTAATGAACAAATCTCAATTATACCCATTTAAATTTAAATTCATTTAAATAAAAACGATTTAAAAATTTATTAAATACAGTTAGTGTTTCAAGAATGGAGAAAGACTTGTTCTACCTAACGTAACATAAAATAATAGTTTTTTTTTTCCAGCAGTGATATGCTAATTTATTCTTTTTCGGAATTGAAAAATTGTCCCAACAAAAATAATTAGTTTTGATTTTAATTACAGTGATTGATTTATAAATAATAATTCGACTATTCAAGTAAGAAATATGAATTATTTTAGCAATAAAATTTTTAAAAAAAATAATCAGTATTACGAATACATTTTATCAGTTGCTTTTGTTGGTATATGTTATAAAAGAAATCTGATTTAAATCAAAAATCACGATTTTTGCTGAGTGAAACACAAAACATCTTAGTTAACAAAATGGCTCCTTCATAAGAGAACTGTAAAAAATGAAATTTGGAATAATTCATTGCCAAACATGATGGGTTTAGGCATTTAATAAATATAATTTTCTTTTATCAGTCAAGTTTTTTCAATACATTTCCTAGCAAATGCATTATTGAAAGATAATTCAATGTTATTAATATTTTTCAGGCAGTGAATGTGTCTACAGACATGATAAATCTGTGGACAGATTTTGAAGTCAAGATTTTGAAGAAATTTTTACTAAATTTCAAAGTTATTCTATGAGTTTTATTAAGGTGTACAACACATTTATATTAATTGTAAAAACAATTTTACAATAAACAACAGGTGACGTAAATTTAAATAAATTAATGAAGTTCTGATCTTAATAATACGAATTAATTCTTTAAAAAATTAAAGTTTTTATTAAATGTTTTGATAAATTTTATGCAAATAAAAAAAAATGTTGTAAAATTTAGTATCAAAAATTTATCATTAAAACAGTCCTCATGAGAAATGCCACTACCTAAGTATACATAAAAGATGAAAAGGCTATACACATTGCTCAGTTTTAGCTATATGCACAGCTGCCAACATGGATATGAAAGAATCCAGTAGAATTTACAAAATAATATAAATTTCATGATAATTATTGCATAATGCACTAAATATTTAACACATAGGGATTTTTAGGGATTTATAAAGTCATCAAAATAGAAAAATTGCAATATTTTCCAGTTATGATTGACATTAAACATACTTGAAATGTTAGGCATTATATGTATATTCATAATTTCAAAAATTAGAAGGCATTCAATTCATCACAGATAGTTAAACAGGGTGCATAGCCAAATTATACAACAAAGAATAAGCAGCTTTTAAGCACTTTTCAAGCACTCATAAAATAATTTTAAGCACTTTAAAAAAATATAATTAGGCAGTATTGGAAAGTTTGTGACAATTGACGGTTCAATCTTCTTTTAACCGTCATGTAAAAAAAAAAAAAACTTTTTGCATTGTTTGACAATTGTCAAAAATCATGAAATTTTGAATCATGTAAAATCAATGGCGTTTTCATACGCTACGACAATATGCCGAAACAGATTGGGGTTGAATGAATTGTGAAAACATTGAATAGAACAATGTGAACTGTGTCTTTTTGCATAATTCGTAGCGAAAATCAACACGGTTAAGAAAAATCTCATTTTGAAAAAGGGAAAATTAAGCACTTTTTAAAAAAGCACCTTTAAGGGCTTTTAAAAAAACGCTATGCACCCTGTTAAAAGATTTTTTTAAAATTAATTTAAAAAGAGAGTTCCGAATAAAAAATAAACTGCACATTTGATAACAAAAAAAGTTATGAACTGATTTCCATCAATGATTTTTTGCTTATGTATTAGTAATACTTATTTAAATATTTAAGCAAGCAAGTAATAATCTGCACAAAAATTCTATTTCAATAGGAATTTTTTTTTGAAGAAACTTATTCAATTTTAGGGAGTTTTTTAAAATGTACAAAAACTAGGAGAATTTTATTTAAACCAGTAGACCAGGAGAAACTGCAAATATCCAGTACAGTTGGCAGCTATGCATATGGTAAATAAAATTGGAGTTAACACTCCAATTTTATGTCACATGACCCGATTCTATTTTGTAAGAATATCGAAGTAAAGTAAAACATTCTAATTATTGATTTCATGCCAAACGTCGTTGATCAATGCTGAAAACTCTACACCGCAAGTGCCATTAGAATAACCAGTTCACTCATCAGTGATTAACATTTGGGCATGAAAAGACGAGTCGCCAATCAACAACATGTTAATTGTGAGTTACCCTGATACAGGGTTGCCACAGAAAAAATTAACAAAATAATAGCTTTTAGTAGCCTAAAGCATGAAAATAGTTGCCTAAATAAGAACAAAACATTTTCATTAATAAGACTAAAATTTTATAAATTACTTAATAATCATATACGATGATCAATTTAGTAAAGTTGGAGGCAAATATGATAAGTTTTATATAAACGTTAGTGTTCTAGCACTGAATTTTTAGATAAAAAAATATTTATTTGCAGAAAATTAAATACTTTTAATTACTAGAATTCATTCAAAATATACTTTTTCTAAAAAATTTTCCATTTTATCAATGATTTAGCAAATATATATATATATAATGTGAAAAGTGATTATTCAATTTCGAAATTCATGTATCGTAATATCGTATAAAATTTATTTATTTTTTAATTTTTTTAAATCAAGCAGAGCTTCGCAGTAATAACTGTTTCAAATTGAGCGAATTAAAAAGTGATGACTCAAACTTGAAATTCAACAGTTCAATGATTTAAAATTTTTTATTTTTCAAGAAAAAATTCAATGTGCTCAGAAGCTCTTGCGGGCTGCAGTTTCTCAACCCCAATAATAATAAAAAACATTGCTATGAGTGCAAAAAAGTCTCCTTTTCTAGAAAGTAGTTGCTTTTTTAGCCTTTCTATGCAAGAAAAGTTGCCAAAGTCGCCTCAGGCCGAAATTAGTTGCCTGTGGCAACCCTGCGATAACTCCAGCATTCTTTTTAAAAATTCTCCAAACATTTTGTTTATTTCCTGTTTCAAGAAGAGAGTACTTCCACTAATTTTTAATCATTTTTAGAAAATAATCACAGAATGTTTTTAATTAATTGCGTAAAAAAGAAAAAAAAATGAAGCATCATACCCCATCATCTGTTTGAACTTTTCTTCGCTTCTTGACTCTTTTCGGCATTTGCTTTTCTACAGTTTGTTTGGACCTCTCGTCTCCATATTCCTCCTTCATGATTTAAAAATAAATAATAAATTAATTCAATCAAATTAATTCTAAAAATTAGAAAAATATACAGGGTACCAGCTACATTTTAGATTTTCAAATTCATGAATTTTCATGACTAATTTCCAGAATTTTTAATGACTTAACGAAGTTACTATTTTCTCTGACAAAAAACACAACAATAAATTTAAAAAATCATCATAACATTCATTGGAATGATAGGTATAACCAAAACTGTTACACTCGGCATCTTCATATTTATTGATTTTAAATTTAAAAAAAAAACAGGGTAAAGAGCTGAAGCAATAAAATAGCCGAATAAAATGCATAAGCAAATATTTTTCTTTTCTTTTCTTCAGAAGAATTACATCCCAAAGATACTTTTCTTGTTCATCGGAAAGGAAAGAAATACTCCTGATTTTTCTGTTCTCATTTCGGATTATAAAATAATTTGCCAATAACTGGCTTGCTTCAGCTAGAATTTTAAATTGGTAAAATAAAAAAATTAATAACAAAAATTCTGAAATCACAGAAGTTTAAAAGATAATTCGCTCCAAAAATAATGCCTTTTCTTTCATTTTTTTTTTTAAAGAGCACCATAATTTTTAAAGTTTAAAGAAAATAATAAAAATATTTTATATTTTAATAAAATATGACTGTGAGTGGGGATTTTGTTACAAATTCAGATATTCAAAACACCATGAAATTACGGGGGGAGGGTAAATTTCATTTTAAAAATTAGATTTTTTTATTTCTAAATTCATAACTTTCCATGAATTTTTTTAAAAAAATAGTTAAAATCATGATAAATTTTGTTCAATAATGAAAATCATGACTTTCCATGATTTCTCATGACTTTCCAGGTGTGAGGATACCCTGAATATATTCTAAAATATGACTAAGAATTAGTCATGAATAACTACTAATATATATGTATGTCACGATAGTTGACTATAAGTTTAAATACAACAATGATAATTTTAATTAAAATCATTGTAACAAAAATCATTGTTAATTAAAATCCTTGATATTTATAGACAGGGTTGCCACTCAAATCTGGAAAAGAAATGGCCAGTACATATTATACACACTATATTAAAAGGAACATAACAATTACTGTGCTTTTGTGTGAGCTATATTGGGGTAACTATATTTATTAGTTTTAATTGCTGGAAAAACAGCTTTACATACTTAAATAATGCTATACTAAATGAAATAGTTTAGTACAGCTGAAATATCATAGTTAAATATCCCATAGATCACAGGGATGCCAACCACTCCGCTTTCTGGAATAGTTTTAATAAAGTGGTAGCAAATTATATAGTAAAATTTGTTAAAGAAGGATAGTTATACCTACTTTTTAATAGAGTAATCAGTAGATGGATGCGTTAACATTGCGTTTTATATAATTTTTGTTATTTACTGGTGAAAAAAATTACTTAAAATGAAAAATACTAAACTTAATGTAACTTACCAGGGGTGCCCAGGCCGAATTTACTACCGTATAGCGGTACCTTCACAAATTCAACTTTAGGAAAAAATGGTAGTTTCACAAAATACTTTTTCTTAAAATTTTATTTTTGCATCCCTTAACAGAAGATAAATCCATATTTTCGTGTTGATTTTTTAATATAATTTTTCACAAATTATGTCTAAATTTTCACAAAATAGGTACCTCTCAGAAATTCCTAGACAGACCCCTGATTACATTTCGCTACCACTAGAAAATACTGTTTTAAAAAGCGGAGCAAGTAGGCATCTCACGCTTTGAGTGGACAACATTTTTTAAAAGACAAAAATAAGAAACAAAATTCCCAGTTTGTAAAGAAAAAATAAAAATTCCCTGTTATTTTAGGTGATTTTTAAAATTCCCTGTATTTATCCAGGTTTTTCCTGTGGAGTGGCAAACCCTGATAGATTGACTTTTAATTGTTCAATGGCAACCCTGAATAAAAGTCACTTTTCTTTAAAAAATATTCTTTCATTGATTACCTCAAAGTCCTTCCAAGCTTCAAGAAGCATCATACGCTCTTCTTTTTCATTTGAAGTTCTCAAGTTTTTATTGGCTCTTTCGTATACATTACGACACTGGGACAGGGCCATATCCCCCTCATTGCAGCCCAGCTCAAACCTTGCAAAACTAATCCACACCTGCAAAAACAAAATTTTTAACAACTTTCTTATCAGTTTTATATCAGACATACCTCTAGCTCATTTATCAAAAGCAGAGCAAGGAATGTTTGATTAGCCATTGGGAATTTTCTGAAAATTCAAGAAATTTCACTTAGCTGATTACAGTATGGAAAAACTCAAGAAATTCCACTTAGTTGATTACAGTAAGGGAAAACTCAAGAAATTTCACTTAGTTGATTACAGTATGAGAAAACTCAAGAAATTTCACTTAGTTGAATACAGTATGGGAAAACTCAAGAAATTTCACTTAGTTGATTACAGTATGGGAAAATTCAAGAAATTTCACTTAGTTGATTACAATATTAGAAAACTCAAGGAATTTCACTTAGTTGATTACAGTATGGGACTCCTAATCCAGCATCTTGAAATCCGGAACTTAATCCAACCAATCTTTTTTTTTTTTTTTTTTTTTTTTTAAAGAAATTTTTATTGACAAGAGAAAAAAAAATCAGCTGCATTCTCTTTTGATTTAGAATTTTATTTTGTTGAAGTTATCTTTTAAAAAAACAGGGCGAAAATCAAATCTTAACAACCAGTTAAGCATTATACTAATTTGTTACGCAACGGTTTTTACTATTCTTTTTTTTCATTCTACGCATTTTAATAGAGGGCATTGTTTTCTTTTGTTTTAGAGTTTCCTCGGCATTTAGTTTGTTTGTGGAATCGCTGTTTGACCGGTTTAATGTGAGTGTTTATTTTCTCAAGATTTTGTTGAAATTTCTTTTCTGATTTGGTTTTATGCATTTCAAGTGTTTTTTCTTGGACTTCTACAAAACCTTCGGGGTACTGAGAGAGTTAATTTTGGCATTTGTCTTCGCTCAATAGAAAAGGTTTTGTTTTATGGCTACCGAGGCCGGTACCCCCGACTGCTTCAGTGGTCATATTTTTATTTCCATTGATTTCTTTATTGCTTCAATTATTCTTTCTTTTGAAAATTCTGCTGCTTTTAAGCGCGTTTCTTTCAAAGATAGTTTTATAAATTTAGAATTTAATATTGTGTATTCTTTTACTAATAACTTTAGAGTAACTAATTCAAGTGAAAATTTACTTTTTACAAGAATTGCAATAGTGCACTTCAACAAATTTTGATATTGAATTTTTGAATTGTTGAAATAAGAGTCAAATGTGCTTAATTTTTAGATATGTGAATATGAATTGCAATGCATAGTTTTTAAATCACGTATAAAAATTCAAAAATAGATGTTTCATTTTACAAATGTCTGAATATGAGTTGCAGCATTATTTTTTAATTTTGCATGAGTATGAATCGCGATACTGGGTTTTAAAAAAAGTGAGCCACGAGCCTTTTCAAGTCACGATATTTGATTTCCAAATCATGAGAATAGAAATCACAATTTGTAATACGAATAATACAGGTAAATACGAAATTAATGTTTGATATCAATATCGAGGGGATTAGATTTGTGACATTAGCATAGATTCCGGCACAGTTCCAAATAATCAAAATTGCAAAAACCATCAAAACCAAAACAATTACCAAGTACGCAATTCTTTACGTAATTGGTGGCATATGAACGTCTCGTTAACAAGATTTAGCAAAATCTTCAAAATTCTGTCGGACTATAAGTTTTTGAATCGCGAAGTCCACGAACCAATGGCCTTGAGATATGGCGAATTTTCATATTCTCGCAAAACTAGCATGCACTGCTTCTAGTTTGTGAACACGGAAGAACAGTACCAGGTTGCCACGGAAAAAAATTAACAAAATAGTTGCTCCAGTTAACCTAGAGCATGAAAATAGTTACCTAAATAAGAACAAAAAATTTTCAATAATATTACTGAAATGTTATTAAATGGCTTCATTGTAATATACCATGATCCATTTAGTCAAGTTGATGGTCAATATGATAATTTTTAAATAAAGGTTAATGTTCTAGCACTAAATTTTTACATAAAAACATTAGTATATTTGCAGAAAATTGAATACTTTTAAATACTAAAATTAATTCAGAAAAAAAAAATTCGTTTTAAAAACAACAACATACTCTTTCTAAAAATTTTTCCCTTTTATCAATAATTGATTTAGCAAATATATATATACTGAAAAGTTATTACTAATATTCAAAATTTATGCATCATAATATCGTATTAAACATAGGGTTCTTTAAAATCATGCAGAATTTCATAGCAATAATTGTTGAAAACGCTATTGAGAAACAAAATAGATCCACAATGGAGATTGTGCAAATTGAGCTCATTAAAAAGTGATGACTCAAATTTGCAATTCAAACTTTTTTTATTTTTTAAGAAAATTTTTTTTTCATTATGTTTAGAAGCTACCTGGGGCCGTAGGTTGTCAACCCAATTTGTTCTAAAAAAAAACATCGATAGAAGCACAGAAGTCTCCTTTTCTTGAAAATAGTTGCTTTTTCAGACTTTTCAGGCAAAAAAAGTTGCCATAGTTGCCTCAGGTCGAAAATAGTCACATTTTAGTCGTCTGTGGCAAACCTGCAATACGAAAAACCAGGAATTTTGGGATACCCCAGGAGTATACAAACACCCATGCTAATAGTAAACTCTACTAAACTATGTAAAAAAAAGAAAGGAGACTCACTTATCAAGAATGTAAAAAGGATTTACCTTAACGTGTTGTGTTCTTTCCAACAGCCTTTCATAGAGCTGCCTTGCCAGTTGGAACTGCTCTTGCTCTATCTCGAAATCAATATATGCTTTCCAGATGACCTCTGGCATATCTAGCCTTGGTTGATTGATGGCTATCTCAAATATTGCTCTCGCCCTCTCATAATCTCCCAGTATTGTCTCCAGTTCAGCAAACTTCAATTAAAGAAAAGATTTATATCATTAATATGCAAAGTTACCACAGAAAAAAAAAATAGTTGCTTTTAGTAGCCTAAAGCATGGAAATATTTAATGAAAACTACGAATATAGTTGCCTAAATAAGAACAAAAATTCATCAAAAATATGACTACAAATTTATTAAACTACTTAATTGTCATATAACCACGCTCCAATTAGCCAAGTTGGTGGCAAGTACAATAATTTTTTTTTATAAACGTTAGTGTTCCAGCACTAAATTTTCCCGTAAATTTTTTTTTGTATATTTGCAGAAAATTAAATACTTTTAATTACCAGAATTCAGTCAAAAATAAAACTTTTTCATAAAAATAAAAATTTCTACAAAATTTTCCCTTTTATCAATAATTGATTTAGCAAATATATATAGTGAAAAAGTTCACCCAAATTCGAAATTCACACATCATATCGTATTAAAATTTCCTGAGGAATTTCATAGCAATAACCATTGAAAGGGCGATTGAAGAACAAAATAGAATTACAATGGAATTAAATGAATTAATAAGTCCTGACTAAAATTTGCAATTCAAAATTTCCAAAATTTTTTTATTTCTAAGGTAAAAAAAATTCAGTGTGTTCAGAAGCTCTTGTAGAAAGCAGCCCAATTTATGCTGAAAAAATCATCTCCAGGGCACAGAAAAATCTACTGGTAACTCTGATATGGGGTTTCAAATGTTGGTTGATTGATGTGAGATACGGAGACAACAAATGACGCTTCGAATAGCTTTTAAAATGTAAAGAACTATCTATTTTTCTAACAATTCAGTCCATAGTTTTCCCAATAGTAATAATTAATAACAATATTAATTTTATCGATATTTTAAGTAATTCTATGCGGGAAAAAAGGTTATGGCATGAAAGATTGAGAAAAAAAACATGATTCCCAGAGTAAATAATGATACAGTCGGACTCATATTTAATGAACTTCCATTTTGCGAATTTCTCTAATTTTCGATTTTTTTCGAGGAACCAAGAACATTTGAGAAATTTCTTCGTAAAATAACTTCCAAATCGCGAGTGAATATTATAATCAACGAACTTTTCATTGTGATCCACTTTCCCTATTCCTCAAAATACTTCAGAACATTTCAAACTTGTTAACGCATTCTATGGGGGGAAATGACCTTGAATCGATTTTCAAAGCCACTGCTTTATGTAATGATTTACTGCTTTCTCTAAAAGCTATTTTATAGAAAGCAGTAAAATCCTTTTCCATTTTTGTTTGCATTTCAAACAAAAAACTCAGTCCAAGTTGACGGATTTTATCAGTAGCAATTAAACTTAAGAACACAGGTGGTACGTTTAAAATTACTTTTGTAATAAATACAGCTATAATTTTACACATAAGTTTAGCTTTTTTTTAAAGTAAAAAATTTATGTAGCATAATGGTGTAACACTGGATAATGTTTTGCTCTATTCTTGCTTTCCATGCAAATTCTTTTTATGGTTAAGATTTATAAAATAAATAGTAGATACTAGTTTACAAGATAAAAGTGCATGAACTGTTATTTAAATTATACCCGGTGTTTATGAATTTAAAACCTGCTTTGTGTCGCTTAAGTATTTTAAAAGGTGATTTTCTATTTGACGAATTTTCCATATAACGAACTTATAATCGGGATTTAGCGACTTCGTTAAATAGAGATCCGACTATATTTGACTCCAGATATTTTTTGTTGTTGAAAAAATAGGAAACATTCTGACAGTTTGGTTTAAATTACATCAATCGAATTCTTTATTTCTAATGCATATTCTATACAAATTTTCATGTAAATGGAAAAGCTACAAAAAAAATAAATAAATAAATAATAATTCAGTTGATAGGAAACCAGAAAATATATTCCACAACAAGCAAAAGTTTGTTCAAACGAGCAGATGTTACTGCTTTAATGATTTGGAGTGCCAATGGAACTCACCAAATAATATTTGGTTAGTACATGATCAAGGGAGCCACTCTAAAAAAATTTCAAGACTTTTGACCAAATAATACTGTCTAGCATTGTTTACCAAACTTTTAGAAATTTATAGCTCACTGATACCAAAATTTATCTTTCTTTGATAATAGCCAACATATTAAATCAATCATTTGATTATTTTTTCTAAAAAAGGTTTTTCTTTATTTTATGTTATATTAGCAAACAAAATGAAAATAACAGCTAACCTTGCATAGTTTTTTTATAGCTATTACTGAACAACCTGAAACCATTCATATCTCTATTTTTCACTTCATTGTTACTTATATTTTGTTCTAGCACTATAATTTCTTTCTTTTTTAAAAAAATAATCTCGATTTAACTTTGGCCAACATGACAATCTGTTAGGGTAGGGGAAGCAAACTCGAGCAGATTTAGATTCAGTAATAGTACAAATTTAATTACACAAGTAGATGAAGTTCAATCAATCCCATTTGTCACTACTTTAAGAATAAGATTTAGTGAAGCTGACAAAAATAAGATAAATATAAGTCCTGACATCATTACCATATCATATGTTTTCATTAAGATATAATATTTTTTATTCTGATCAAAATTATTTTTAAATTCCTAATGAAAAAAGAAAGAAAATTTAATTAAATTGATAGAATTTATTAGTCCAGATTTTTCTTAAGACTGATTTCAGTTCCCAGGACTGAAGAGTGACATGTACAAGATCAACACAATTTGTTAAATATAAAAATTCTATTTTAAATTGAAAAAAAAAAATCTAAATAATTTAAAAATGCATATAAACAAAATTTATAGACACATCAATAAACAAAAGTTCATTTTTTGTTTACCATTTTCAAAATTTCTATACACAAAATAAGAAAAATAAATATTTAAAAAAAAAAAAAAATGCATGAGTAGATAATATTATATAGTAATATAGCATACTTTCATCCATGTAGTGCAATTCTCAGGTTCAAACTCCAAAAACTTTTGGTAGAGGATGCGACATCTATCGAATTCTCTCAATTGAATTTCTAAATCAATATAACCCCGAAAAAGTTTATCTTTTGGACACATACCAATAGCTGCACCCTAACGAAATAGAAAATATATAGATTATTTAAACAAAAGTCATGTTTTTTTGTGTCATTCAACCCCTCAATTTTTCAAGAAAAAAAACAGGGTATCTATAAAAAATTTTTAGGAAACCTAAATATGACTGTAATCTGCAAGTAAAAAAACATTCGAGAAATTTAATGAACATATTTTTAATATTGCATGAAGTTTATTTAATTTTTTTGTCTCAAAAAGTAATTAATCAGGTTATTGCTTTAAACATTTTTTTTTAAATATCTATTAGTTAAAAAAATTATTAATATCCATTTTTAATAACTTTTTCTTTACATTCTTTCATACACATTTTGATCATTGCAAGCTAAAAAACTCACAAATCAAGTTATTACTTAAGAAAAAAAAACACATGTTGTTTTCTTTTCTTTTTAAATATTATTAAAAAGGTTACATTTAGATTCTTCCAGATGAGTTTTATGTATCCAAATGGAAAAACAGTTGCAACACAAATCGAGAATTTCTGAATTAAATGTTTCATTAGTTAGATTCTTAAAGTTTCCCGAATAACACAGCGAACTCTCGCTACAACGATATCCAATACAACAATAACTTCCTCTATTACAATAATGTTTTGTGGTCCCGACGAACTTGCATATGAATTAATGTTATCTATCTCTCAATATTGCGATATTCTCTGAAGCAATAAACCCCTGTAAAACGATTTTTTTCTCCAAATTTCAACCCCATTTTCTCCATTTATTATTGGTTTTCAAATAATGTAAAAAGTCTTATTTTATCATATTTTGTCATTTATTATTTTGGTCTTTTCTGACAAGAAAAGTCTCACTGCTGATTATGTACTTATTTCTTTACACACAGTGAATGGCTTTTGTATTCAGATTTTAATACCCCATCCTTGATGTACATAGACCACTCCAAGACCTTCCGTTCTTAAAATTGCCACCCATATCTTATCCCTCCCTCTAAAATTTGAAAATTTTCAAGTTTCAAATTCAGATAATTAAGAGCGTATTAAATATGCCTCAATTATATAAATAATTTTTTAAAGTTTTTTTGTATATCTTTTAAATGACACATCATTTATCGAGGCAACTAGAAGGCGCAAGTTATAGTCAATCATTAAAAATTGCAAAAACCGGCAAAAATGCGTCTTTTTACGATCTTCAGTGACAATGGGGCAACAACTTGCCATAAACTTTTCACCCATTTTACAAAGTTTAACATCCTTACTTTTCAGATATTTAAATTACTTGGAGGCACTTTGTTTGCGCTAAGAGCTGTGGTTCACTGTAATTTCCATGTAGTGCAAAAATGCTGAAATTTTCCTGCAACTCTCTGAACTTTGGGGTTTATAAATAATGAACAACTGAACTTTGGGGCAAAAAATTTTAGATTTTCTTTTTTGACAAGATGAGTAACATTTAGTAATTTTTTGAAGAAATTCTGAGACGGTATGAACAGGGTGTCCACTCAAAACAGATTTCAAATTTCCCTGATTTTTCAGGTAAAAATCTTAAAATTTCCAGGTTTGTGTTTTTTTCCTTTTCTCTTATAAAGTTTAGGATGTGTAGAAGAAAAGTGTCTGTATTATAAAATATCTTATTCAAAATGTCATTTTTTAAAACATATCTTGAAAGAAAAAATTTTTTTTTTTTACAAGATATTTTTTTATTATTTTTTAATGTTCTGGTACAACCTTAATTTTTAAAAAATTAAGACGTGGAGAAAATAATATGTTTAGCTTGCAGAATATATTGTTTTTATTGAATAATTTTAATTGTTTTTATTGAATTTAATGTGTTGTTTTAAGTAGTATTTGCTCAAAGTATACCTACAAAATGACAAAATCAGAATAACCAATAAAACCTTGGATAAGTATTGTTTAATATATTTTCATTAAGGAAAAGAAAACCGTTTCAGGTGATTATATATCAATAATTTTTAATAATTACAGTGGCTCCCAAAAGTGCTCACTCACTTATAACTTATATTGAAATAGGAAGTAAAAATTCAATAATTAAAATGAATATTTCACAATGGGTATTTGATAATAAGATGTATAATCTATTCTTAGCAAAACTGCACGGAATATTTTAAAAACAAAGCAAANGAAAAAAATTCTGACAGTTATGAAAACATTAATTGCTCTCTCCGCAATTTTGAACTAGAACGATTCAAGCAAGGTTTATTTAGGTGGTTAGGTGGAGGAGAAAAATTCATTTCCTCCTTATTTGTCATTCCAGTTGAAGGCAGGAAAGTGATAAATTCTAGTTTTCTCCCTTATCATTGGCTATCAATCTAGCAAAAAGGCATGGCATGCTGATTGAGTTCTCAATTTTTTGTTTGACTGAAAGTGACTCTCCCTCCATGTAAACATTTGCTGCATTTACCCTTTTTCACAGTATTTCTTCTTTCCCCATTACTATAATAAAAAGGTTCCAGGAAATGCCTCTTTTGCTAGGTAGCCACCTGCATAGGAAAGAAAGGGGGAGGGGACTCAGTTGTGCTCTTTTGAAAACAAATCTCCCTCCTTTCCTGCATTCCATAGGAGGAGCGTCAATAACAGTCACTCCATGGTCTTGATAGATCTTTTCTCCCCTTTCTCCATTTATGGGTTCAATGCAAAAATCATTAGAAACTAGAAAAGGAAAAAAACATGTCAAAAGACTTCTGTTTCTTTGTTGTTGTTGTTTTTTTAAAGAGAGGGGATGATGAAGAAATGTTTGTTTATTTTGATTGTTAAAAAGCATCCGGGAAATCGACCCTTCCAGGAAAGGGATGTCCGGATATGTGTATAAATTTAAATGTTCCAAAATAGTGTTGTAGCGAGGTCATACTGTATTTTTGTACAAAATAAATAAATAAATTTTTTACCAAAAGTTTCCTTGCAGCCATTAGATTCTTCTGTCTTATCTCATAGTGTGCAGCCAAGAGCCATATTTTAGCAAATGTGAATGTTTTGTGGGGGATGAGTTTGAGGCAAGCCTGATACACTTCTCTCGTTCTGCTTTCTTCTTCATTCACTTCCAATTCCTCATAAAGGGCATAGTTGATCCACAAATAAATGTAACGTCTCCAGAATCTCTTCTCCTGAAATATTCAAGAATTTTTTGTTTCTTTTAAATTTCAAACAATTGGAAAAAAAACAAAAACAACTTCATATTAATAATGTTATGCATTTTTTAGGACTTTTTTCAAAATATGATAAACATTACAAGGTTCATTTCAAAAATGAAAAAAAAAAAGTATAGAAACAAGCCTGAAATAAAATAATTTTTAGATTATCATAAAATATTCTTAATAACTTCATATTCATTTAAAAATATATTACCAATAAAATGCACATGGCAGAGTCGGCAGTCGACTACAGTAATCGATTACAACTGTAATTGATTACAGATAATTACTGCTATGGAATCAATTACTTGTAATCTTGATTATACATTTTGATTCCAACTATAATCATGATTACAATACTCAATTACTTGTAATCATGATTACAAACATCCATAATTTTGATTATGTCTGTAATCGTGAAAAAAGTGGTGACTGACAAACAATTTTCTAAATGCTATTTTTTACGTTTTGTCGCCTTGTGTCAATGGTGACAGTTTTGTCCTATAGCTCCAACCAATGAGAAAGGGCATTGCTCTTAATACATTCATAATATTCAAGGTTGATTTGTTTTTATTAGGAAAATGAGTTTAATCTTAAGAAAAATATTATTAGCAGAATAAATTTTCTCAATTTAATATACAGATTTAGGTTTAACAATCTCCGGCATTTTTGATATAACGATAATGAAACATGCAATTTTTTAATAAGAGTTATCGATTGTGATAACTTTAGGGAGTTTATGAAGCATTTGTTTCACGATTCCATCCTAATTTTGGGTGTTTTACAATAATTTTATCAGTAGTTTTTTATCGCTTTTATGGGATATTTCTATGGAGATTTCAAATTTCCGAGTTATTAGAGTTTTAATTACGAGTTTATTGGGAAACGCAAATTACTATTGTACTTATCCCTTTTTAGCCAGATTTATTTTGACTCTGTTATTTTTCGTTTTTACGGTCTTTTATAAACGGTTTTTCAAATAACAATATTATTAATAAGATAACACTACACAAGAATTTTAGATTTTGAATAATCATTTTAAATTATAATTGCTACTATCCCATTATAAATCAATGTCATTTTATAATTTCTTTTCAGCAGTAATTACAATTATCTATTTCTACACTAATTTTAAAATCTCGATATTTATAACAAAACAGGTGTTCTACAGATGTAATCAAATTATAAATTCAGGATTTCTGAATTGGAAGTTATTTCACATAGGCGTTTGGATTAGTTTTTGGAGAGTTATTACTCCTATTTTCAAAATGGTTATTCAGGGTGAGTAGCCAAATCTTTCGACAAAAAATGAGCACCATTTAAGTACTTTTTAAGCATTATATACCTTAAGAAAATGGAAAATAAATTTCAAAGACTTTACATGATTATGGTAAAATAACTAGTTTCTGACAACAAAATCTTTTTCTTAATTACATTGGCGACCCTAAAAAGATCGAGAGATTTTCGGTTAGATTTCAAAGGTAAAAATGAAGCCTGAAATTGAGAATATCTTGCAAAATACAGCAGAGTTGCAAATGAGAGTGCAAGAATCTCACTGAACCCAGCTCAGTAGACACGCATGCGAACCCGCAAAAATTTCATCAAACATGTAAAACGATTGACGCTTTCATATGCTACGGACCAACAATACGCCGTAGTAGATTTTGGTTGAATGAATTGGGAAAATGTTGAATAAAAAGTTTGCTTTGCATAATACGTGGTGAAAATAAACAGGGTAAAGAAAAAAATTCTTATTGTCGAAAAGGGATTATCAAGCACTTTTTAAAAACCCCCACTGAAAAAAAGCATCTTTAAGGGCCTTTAAAGAAAGAAAATCGAAAATAAGCACCTTTCAGCACTTTTTAAAAACACTACGCACTATGTTATTATATACTCAATGTGAAATTATCAAAACATCTAATATATGGTTTTTAAGGTAAATTTATACAAAAAAAAAATTTAAATAAAAAGGCCTACCTATAGCTGCCAACATGGATAGGAAAAAATCCAGTAGATTTTACGAAACAATATAAATTTCATGATAATTGTTGCATAACGTACTAAATACTTTACACACAGGGAATTTTAGTGATTTTTATAGTAATCAAAATGGAAAGACTGCAATTTCTTCCAGTTATGATTGACATTAAACATACTTGAAATGTTATGTATTGTGTTTAATCATAATTTTGAATATTAATAAGCACTTAATTCAGCTAAAATTGTTAAAAGATTTCTGTTAATTAATTAAAAAATAGAGTTCTGAATAAAAATAAACTGAACATTTTATAACAAGAAAGTTTTTAACTGATTTCGATAAACGAGGCTCGGTTTATTATGTATTAGTAATGCTCATTTAAGTAAGCAAGCAACAATCTGTATAAAAATTGTATTTATATGTTTTTTCTTTAGGGAATTTTCTAAAATTCACAAAAACCAGGAGAATTTTAACTAAACCCGTAGACCAGGAGAAACTGGAAAAACCCAGTAGTCTATTGGAAAATCTAGTAGGCTTGGCAACTATGCCTACCTGCTTCTTTTTTTTCGAGGAGGGATTTTGAGAGGGTATAAAAAACAAACGAAAAATTTCCATTGAGAGAACAGAGAATATCTGGGTTTTCACGGATAGTAAGAGGTCAATACAACATCTGAGCGATTGGCGAAACATCAGTGACATAATTGGCCTGAATATCATTAACAATTTGAAGACTTACTCTTCTCACAATGACATGCATCTACAGTGGATCCCCTCCCACGTAAACCTTTACTTTAATGATCTGGCCAAGGAGGGCGCTAATGATCCTATAGATAGTAGTGGCCTTTTAACATACAGTGCCCACCGTTTATTAAAATCACTTTCATTTTATGCTCTTTTGATTTTATTAAGCAGCTGATTTTATTAAGAGGCGATTCAACATTTGAAAGAAAAAATAAATAAATCTAATTTTTATGATGTATTCTAAATGCACACACTTTAAAAGCTGAAATAATGACAACATTAATGCTTTATTTTAATTATTTTAATAAAGTAAAACCCTACATAAGATTAAATTTACAAAATTTTTGCAAAAAACTGATGAATGGTTGCTTGAGTTGCAGTATTTAAAATTAACTTTTCAACATCATTTGAGAGTTTATAGAAGTTTTTTTAGTTTTCGATATTCCTCCTCTTTGTTCTAAAGCTTGCCGCAATTCAATGGAAATCCTTTTCTGACTTCCATTGAAGATGGCACTGATGAGTTTATTTCCTCTTCTGAGTCTGATTCCTCCATTTCTTGATTGGAAATAACTTTGCAATTTTTGATGTCTGTAACAATTTCAGAATCAGATTTTTCTCCTGATGTTTGCAGGTTATCATCAATAGCTAGGTAACATGAAAACTTCTCGCCCATTTCATTTTCTTCACTGCCAAGCATTTCTTCGAAACAGTTATCAGCCCCATCTCCATTGAAGCTTCATGCTGACTACATTAAGGAAGCTTATAATAGTTTTGCAACACTTCAAATTTATCTTTAAGACTCAAATCCTTCCTTTTCGGCATGCTGATAAAATTTAACACCTAATGAACTTAAAAATGATATGTGCTCTAACTATAATTTACTCAAATGGCTTAAATAATATGGAACATGCGCACAGACAGTTTTTGGAAATCTATTCATGTTCTCTGTTAAGATAGATAACAAAAGAAACTTCTCTCCCTTCCATGGTTCATTCAATAAAAAGTAAGATAAGACCCCCTGTTGAGTGAGATAGGTTTCTCCAAACTTCATTCAAGTCAAGGAATTAACATTGATAAATTGATTTCTATGAACTCGCCGCCTACCACCCACATTTTTTCTTAACTCTTACACTATGTATATCGCAGGAAAGTGGTAACCACACCTGTTTCACAGGTTTGTGAGTAACTGTTGCTTCTTCTAAAAAAATCTTTAAACTTCGAAAAAATAAAAAATTATAAATAAGAACAAAAAAAACTTAAATATTGCACTTTTGATTTATTATGTAGTCAAAATTTTGATTTTAAAAAGCGGCGACTTTGATTTTATTAAAGAATGTTTTTAACATGCATTAATATTGTAACAATTCGGTTCTTGCCGATCTGATTTTATAAAGCGTCTGATTTTATTAGCGGCGGGCCCTGTATAATGAAATCTATACAAAAGTAAAGGCCAACAATAACAGGACTTGGAGGATTCCAGCAAGTCATGATTGGTATCAACAAAATAGTCCTGGGGCTGCCCTGGAGCTAAAAGGTGATAGGAAACTGCAGACAGCTATCACAAGACTAATTAGCGGACTAACATTTGTTGAGGGTCATTCCCTGTATGCCTAAAATGTAATGTGCACCAGGCTACACCTGATCATTTGCTGTCCTGTATGGGGCTAGAGAAGAATCTTATCTTAAAGGGTCCGGAGATGGTATATGATTTTCTGTCGGTGAACTGTCTTCTGGACTTGGTCTAGCCTTGTTCTGGGCCAAGAGGAATAAGTCTGAACAAGTAAGAACAGAAGAAGAAATCAAAGGAGTATCCAAGGAGTTCAAAATTTTAAGGACTTATCAAAAATTAAAAAACTTTGTGTAGAAGATAACTAGATAGTTTTTTTTTTTTTTTACTTAAAAAGCAGTTATTATAAGAAACTCGCAAAAATGTATAATTTGCATATTTTTTTCTAGCCTTTTTGAAATAAATTTTGACTTTGTCAAAATTCACCAAGAAAAATAAATAAAGTTATCACTTTTACACATAAATACATTTTCCAATTTCAAATATTTCAATAAATCTTGTTAAAGTACAGATGTTAAAGATTAACATAAAAACCTACCAATCCTATTTTTTTAAATTTGAATACATAAGAAAATCTAAGGCATTTCATATAAAAAATATAAAAAAATCCCAGTAAATTATTAATTAAGTTTGCTTGTAACATGTCAAATTAAAATTATCTGCTGTTATTTTTTTCTTCTAACTCTCGCAATTCAGTTTTATTTTTTCTTAAAAGTTTTCTTAAACTGTTAGATTTCGACAGCTAAGTCATATAATTTAATTTCCCTGCTGGGACAGCAAATTCATCAGCGTACTTAGTAAGTTCATCTATGCAACGCAATAATCTATGGAGTTTCTAAAGACTAATTTAGAAATCTAAGTAGTTCCAAGTACTCCTTGGAGATTTTTTTATTTCCAATTAGTTTCTAAGGAGTATAAGGAGTCTGTACGCACCCTGAATAAGTAACAACAATACACACAAAAGACCTAAAATAAGGCAAACTCTCTTTTGAATAGAAAAGAAACAACATGTTAGACATGAAAACTGAATAATTTTTGTGCAAAATAAAAGAGACCTTTTTCAGGGGTACATTAGCAATGGCTCGTTCATAAAGCTCTCTTGTTGCTTCAATATTTCCTTCACTCTCCATCAGGCGCAGATAATCAAACCAGCTATCATAATTTAAAGAATTGGCTTTCACTTCCTAGAACAGAAAAAATCTCACATAAAGAACAAAAATAACACACAAAGCTGTACAGGAGGGGGAAAAAATCAGTGTTTATTTATTTTTGCTATGTTAAACCATGTGAGAGCTTAGTAACCTATTTTAATACCTAAGAACTTTCAAATATTAATTTTTACACATTAACATATGTATACATACATACATATATATATATAAACATACATATGTATGTATGTATGCATATGTATACATACATATATATATATAACACACATATATATGGAAATATCACAAAAGTAAGAGACAGTGAAC